TTGTCTTGTTTGCAGTGGTTTATCCAAAGCAGCTGTGGATGCTCCCTTGGTTTTACTTGAAATCAACAAAATAGATCATGGCACAGTGTTCTCTGGAGTGACAAATCACACTTCTGTCTGGCAATCTGATGAACATGTCTAGGTTTGGCGGTTGCCAGGAGAATGGTACTTGCCTGACTGCATTGTGCCAATTGTAAAGTTTGGTGGAGGGGGGGAATTATGGTGTGGAGTTGTTTTTCAGGGTTTGGGCTTACCCCATAGTTCCAGTGAAGGGAACTCTTAAGGTGTCAGCATACCAAGACATTTTGGACAATTTCATGCTCCTAACTTTGCAGGAACAGATTGGGGATGGCCCCTTCCTGTTCCAACATGACTGCACAAAGCAAGGTCCATAGAGACATGGAGGAGAAGTTTAGGGTGGAGGAACTTGACTGGCCTGCGCAGAGTCCTGACCTCAACCCGATAGAACATCTTTGGAATGAATTAGAGCAGAGACTGAGAGCCAGGCCTTCTCATCCAGTGCCCGACTTCACAAATGCGCTTCCAGAAGAATGGTCAAACATTCGCATAGACACACTCCTAAACTTTGTGGACAGCCTTCCCAGAAGAGTTGAAGCTGTTATAGCTGTAAAGGGTGGGCCAACTCAATATTGAACCCTACAGACTAAGACGGGTATGCCATTAAAGTTCATGTGCATGTAAAGGCAGGCATCCCAATACTTTTGGCAATATAGTGTATGTGAAGATACAACATTCTCCTTTGGGAGCTAACTATATATTTGCCGCAGTTTGCTTTGGCATTGCCCATATGTGGATTAATTTGTGCTAATGTCCAAATATGCATATGCCCATGATGTGGATTATTTGTGCATAATCCAAATATGGACCTTGAATAGCCATCTAGCCATAAAAGAAGTACCTATACCTATATGGAGGAGATGTTCCTTTAATGCAATATAATCTTATAGTTCACATGCTTTACGCCCCCCATAGGAGTGCATATACATATTTGTCAGGGTCATTTTTATGCATGTGATTCTTCATTGGGAGGTGATCCTTAGTATTTTTTCCCGCAGCTGGTTGGGGTTTTTAATAACTGGCCAATTATGGTTTTATTTATTAGACATTAGGTTTTTGTATAGTTTAGGTTTTTCAATAAAGAGTTCCCACTTTGTAATGAATGTGTGTAAAGCGAAAGCGATAGAAAGGGATTTATTCTAACAATGAATACAAAGTTTCCTCTGATTGGCTGAGCCAACCAAAGGAAGCTTTGTATTAATTGACAGAATACATCACTTTCTACGAATGGCTGAGTGGGCCCAAGATGGGAAGGTCTCTATTGTGTTCGGGGTCTGAGATAGGAACACAGTGCTGTATGTAGCCTCAGCTACATACAGTTTACATGGCACTGCCAGCAGCCATACATGTTCGTGAAAGACATAGTTTAGACCAGCTTGGCCCAAACAAACTATGTAAAATGTATCAAAAAGATGGAGTTCAGCTTTAAGCCCTCTGTTTTTTTCAAAAAACACTTTCAGCAGCTGATTCAATCACTTACAGAGTATGCAGCGTCTATCTTTTAATCTTTGCCTATGTTCTAGTTTAGGTTGACCCAGCTTTGCTTTTTTAGCATCCTATGACATCACACTTGCATGCAGAGACTCCAGATGTGTGTGTACATTTATAGAAACACAGCCCCGTAGCCTAGGATAGCAAGGCAATCCATTGCTCCTCCTGCAGTGAGACAGGAGGGAGCCAGTAGCATTGAAAGTTTCAATGTTCATATAACTTTCAATGTTGTAAACTACAGGTGCTGGGGCAAGAATTTTAACAAAAAAGTTTACTGGTGAATATTTTATTGTGCTCAACAAGTTAAAAAAGGCTACATGCTAAACTTTAACAAACATGACAATTTACTAGCTTTTTAAAAGTGTGGTTCTTTTATTCAGGTAAACATTGTAACAGCTACACCACAAAAATATATAATTACAGTGCAAATTGATTTGGCACATGAAGTTAATAATTATGTAAAGATTTGTTTTTAAAAATGATGTCAATGTGCAAGATATACAGGCCGAGGTCACAGAAGTGATAAAATATTGTGCACATCAATGAATGTAAATAAATTTGCTTGAAACATTTAAATACATAGCAAATCGAAAAAAAAAACAGCCATAGCATACTTGAATTTTATAAAATATAGCTTAAAATACCACACCTACCTCTTACAACATGTATTGTTCATTATAAAATGAATCACTTTAATTGTAGATTCTGTATCAGAATACTGTTGACAGATTTAAGAAAAACCACCAAAGGATAGTGAAAATTATGTAATTTAAGAATGATCCAATGTAAGGGTCAATCTGGAGACTTTTTTTCTCAACTGTACCATTATCAGAATGAATACATAGGGAATCAATACTATTCTGCATTATCAGCATCAATATAGATATCAATTTTGACCAGTTGCACTGATTAAGATGTAGGCACAGTGGTTCCCTTGGGTCTATTGACTTTATTTCCAAGGTTGGCATGGGTTAGTCTCTGTAGTTAAAATTGCATTAGTTTATTTTTTCTAAGAACTGTTAAAAGTTAGGTTAAAGAAAAAAGTTTTCATTCTCAACACAAAGCCAAAAATGTTCTTTGCTTTAACTTTCAATACTCATGATACCTGAAAAAAAAAAAAAAACTCTACTAAGTTCAGAAAGCAGATAGATATATAGGTCTTTATCTTGATGACAATAACATGGACGATGATTTAGAGCACTATGAAAAAAAAAGACAGAAGACGTCAAACATAGGGCTTTTGATATTCTAGACATAAATACTCAAAATCTCACCTAGCCACATACATGCTAAATTATATTATTTGTGCACTTCTTATACATTAGACAATAACTGAAGCAGAGTTTTAAGTGTCGATGTTCAAGTAAAATACATACTTAAAGCAGAACTGTAGTCAAGTACAGAATTCCAATTACTGCCAAATTGTTCAGTTCTAAAGTAAACTGTAACTGACCTTGAATTTCCTCCTGTATGTTAGGATCAGTAATGTCCTTTTTGCGCCCTCAAAGGCTGAAGATTGCGCTATCTTTAGCCCTACTGCTTACCATTCTTCCTTGAGGCCTCATTCCCATACTTTACAATAACAAGTCCACCCCTGGGTTGCCATGGTTGGCGCTGACTCATAAAACACACGCCACTAGTAGCTTTCATGCACCTTAGGTGGCAGATCTCTAATATTCAGCTTCTAATATTTATGCCTGCATAAAGCCCTGCTGTTGATCTTTATTATGATTTTTCTTTTTTTACTTCAGTGTACTGTCACATGGGAAGCAGAGGCATCATGAGAGCAGGAGAATGAGATTTTACATTCTGGCATCTATCTAGTTTGCCAGGAACACTTTTTGGCTGTGCATGATCACTCACTTTGGGTGTCTGAAAGCACTTTAGAGATATGGAGTCTGCTGGTCTAATACAAAACAAAGTGAGATCTGACATGGTGCAAAGTTGAAAAGAAAAATAAAGTTCTGCTTTAAATATGATAAATACAGGAGGTGAACTCATTTTAATTTCAAGTGTCTGCAAACCTAGCTGTACCACATATAATGTAAATATAGTGGCTTAAAATGCTAAAATACATGGAATGGCATGTTATCAATTTCCGAAAAATATAAATTAAAACTGGCACTTGGTAATTAACGGCTAAGGTATATGAGCAAATACAGCGTGATATCAGGTCCTTTCAGTCTGAGCAGAGATTGGTTTGAAATACTTCTGTGACCTTTCCGAGTTCCCTGCACCTCTTTTTAAGCTACATCAAGCTGTTTTTGCACTACCCTATTTTATAGGCAGAAAAGCAGTTTTCATAGTATTGTTATAGAGTAAAAAAACTCAAATGCATATTCTATTTATCTCAATTAGTATAAAGGAACCCATCTATTTCTTATAGGACTTTATTAGCTTGCTGGTTTTCTTCAAAAGAATGATACACCTTTATTCTAAAATCACCATACTAAACTCTTCAGATATATTAAACTTGAAACTTGTTGATTCCACAGCTGGGGTGCACTTTATTGAAGGCTCCAAAAATATAACCGTACCTGATAAGTTTCTAGTATCATTTGCAGTGATGCAAACGTTTTCAGATGCTGATACACAGGTTTATTGCAGAGAGCTACAAGGGCCTACTAACAATCTTCTAATGTAGAGTTCTAGCCACCTGTAAAATGTAACCTTCAGTTTGTTTTAAATAACACTGGATTTTAAGATTATTTTGTAAATGCACAGGGTTCATACACAAATCCAAGCCTGTGGAAACATGGAAAAATATCAATTTGATCATGAAGACCACTTTTTTCGTCAGTGAAAAATTCTATGTATTTTCACATTCTCATGACATTAATTTCAAAGCATGCATCAATACTGAAAACAATGGCAACAGAAAAAAAAAAAAACAAAAAAAAAAAAACATGGCATATTATTTCTTGTAATCCATGCTAAAAACAACTATGGCATTATGCTTGCAAAATGGTATTGTCTGCTGGAAGTAATCTTTGACAGCAGACAAACGTACACAAAACAATCACATCAATATCATGAGGTGTACATCACAGAAACCAATTCCATTGAGTTTGTAAAGCAATAAAAAAAATAGTGTCTGTAAATACAGTCTAGTTTGTCTTTTCAGTCTATAAATCTAACTACAGCTATACGGCACAGAACTGTCGGGTAATATTCAGCAAATCCTTACAGGTGGCACAAAGATTTCTCTCCTGAAACGCCAAAAATGAAAAAAAATAAAAATAAAAATACTGCTGCAGTCATTTGAATGTATTAGTATATTTCAAATCTAATTTTCTCATACAATGGGATTTTTTCTTCATTTTTCTCTCTCATTTTTCGGACGATCAACGCTTGCTTGAAATTGATCCAGCCTTCTCCCTTAGACTCCTTGAGCTGATGAAGAAACTGTGGTCATATTTGCAGGAGGACACTTAAAGAATGGAGCATGGCTTTTTGTCTTTGAATGGATTTTCTGAAGTTGGCACTCCAACCAGCAGCGGGTCGTTTTTAGCATGCTGCTCACAGTAGTTCATGAGGTCTGATGCTGCTTTAGATACCTGAAATTTGGTAATAGATCAACAACTGAATCAGTGCATATATTAGTTTAAACATGGACATTTTCTAGCTTATATGCTGATCCTTGAGATCCTTTTACTGACCCAGAATATATACATCAGTAGTTCTGACTTCCTGACTTCATTAGCTACCTGCTTGTTCCAGATCAGTGACTCAAAGAAGTGAGGGCAGGGATGACCATGCAACTAGAATTTTCATGAGCAGGTCAGTAATGGCAGACTTTGAAGAAAATCTATACTGATTGAAATACATAGTGTATGTAAACCCCTACTATGAACATTTATTTGCTTTCAAGAATTTTGTTATTATATATGCAAGTGCAAATAACTCCATGTTCATCTTGTCAGTAATTCAGAGCTAACAATTCTAAACTGGTACAGCGCTTACCCTAATAAATATCTTTTAGTGCATGAATACAATAATAATTATTAATACGTGACAAAAAATGAACTGTGATTGACGCCTAGTTTCCCTATATAAAGCCGCATGCCACCAATGACGTTACCCTGAGGAAGTCACGTGATATCGGGACGTAACGCATAGGAACGTGGTGACGTATTACCGGCGTGGACGACATCTTGCTACACCCATGCAAATACACCCATAGCATGTGGTTTTACAGCTTGGTTTATCTTAATGAAAAGTGAGTGGGCAATTGGCTATACATGTCTTTTAACCACTTGCCCTCTAGAGGATTTACCCCCCTTAATGACCAGGCCTCTTTTTGCTACTCGGCGCTGCACTAATTCAACTGATAACTGCGTGGTCATGCAATGCTGCACCCAAACGAAATTTACGTCCTTTTTTGCACACAAATAGAGCTTTCTTTTGGTGGTATTTGATCACCTGTGCGCTTTTTATTTTTCACGCTATAAACAAAAAAAAGACCAAAAAGTTTGAAGAAAAACAATATTTTTTACTTTCAGCTATAAAAAATATATAGTAAACTCAAAGTTGGTTATAAAATTTAGGCCAAAATGTATTCTGCTACATGTTTTTCGTAAAAAAAATCCCAATAAGTGTATATTGATTGCTTTGTGTGAAAGTTACAGCGTCTACAAACTATGGTATAAATACTGCAATTTACGCAATTTTTTTGCTATACAGCGCTGCACTAGTTTAACGGACAATTGCGCAGTCATGAAATTTATGTCCTTTTCACACAAATAGAGCTTTCTTTCGGTGGTATTTGATCGCCTGTGCGTTTTTTTATTTTTTGCGCTATAAAAAAAAAAAAAAAAAAAGACTGACAATTTTGAGAAAAAAAAAACAATATTTTGGACTTTTTGCTATAAAACATGTACAGTAAAAAAAAAATTTAAAAATCAAATTTCGTCATAAATTTTGGCCAAAATGCATTCTGCGACATGTCTTTGCTAATAAAAAAAACCAAGACGTGTAAATTAATTGGTTTACGTGAAAGTTATAGTGTTTACAAATGGCGGGAAAGATACGCAGATTTTTAATTTTTTTTTATACTATTAATGGCGGCGAGCAGTGACTTATGGCAGGACTGCGGCTGACATTCTGACACTGGGGGGGAACTGACTTGGGGTCACTGACACCAATACAGTGATCAGTGCAAAAAAAAAAAAAAACAAAAAACACTGACTGTACTAATGGCACTGGGAGGAAGGGGTTAACTTTATTCACTGAAAGGGTTAACTGTGTGAGGGGAGTGTTTTACTAGGGGGCGGGGGTGTGTACTGCACGGGGACACGCTGATCGGGAGAGAAACTCTTCTCTCCCGATCAGTGTGTCAGGAGCTGTCAGGGAACTGACAGAAAGCAGAGCTACTGCAGCCCTGCTCTGTCAGTGATTGCCGCTAATCGGTAATGACCGGCCGTGACCCGGCGACTGACACCCGCGGCCGGGATCAGCGGTGCAGGTAGAGCGGCGGCGAGCCTCGTGCGTGCCCCCTACCTGTTTTGCAAAAGCGCGTTTTAAAACGTGCTTTTGCCCAGCCATGCCACCCTGCTGCCGTATTTCTACAGTGGCTGGGCGGCAAGTGGTTAAAGTATAATAAACAGATTTACACTATGGAAGATCTCTTTTATGTCTCTACCTTGATCTTAATGTGAGTTGACTATATCACATTTAAACATCTCTGGAGGGGACCTGGCTGCTTTAAACGGATACCAGTGAAGGGGATATCACCGCTTTGGACGGATATCATCCGCAGGGGGGAATCTAACCGTGGAGGATCCCTTTTTGTGATCCTACAAGCGTTTTGGCCTGTTTGGGTCGCTACAAGGAAGTGAGGGGGCAATTCAGCCGCTTACGGATTATTTCACATTGGTTGTTATGCACATCCACTTTATCACCTGCACGTTTGGATCAATCGTTGGATCACTTGGTGTTTATGCACCTTTGAAATTTTTTATATATATATATATATATATATATATATATATATATATATATATATATATAAATATTTTTTTATATATTATTTCTTGTTACTTTTTTTGTCCATTTTTTTATTTTTATAATTTTTTATTTTTTGGACTTACTGCATAATATCATTCATAATAGAGTGGTGTGTTGATGTTATTCATAACATTATTTTTATATGTTCATATATATTTGGGAGTGTTTTATGTTATAACAGCACTTGTCACTATAGTGGAGTTTTGATCCCTCAATAGGGATTCACTTATTGTCACTTTTCAGTTTTGGCAAATTAAGCCATTGTGATTATTATTTTGTGAGTTATTTGGTCCCAATTTAAGGGATTTGTCATCTACCATTTATTTGTCTTTTCATTTGCCTTTATTTTTAGTCCCATTTGGACTTTTTTTGGTTTCACTGTTTCGGTTTACAACACCATGTTCAGTCACTTTTGGTTTTCACTTTAGATCCCTGAGTGGATCAGTTCACTTCACAATAATATTCACGGTATACATTTTTTGTCATGTATTAATTATTATTGTGTTCATATACACTAATAGATATTTATTAGGGTAAGCGCTATACCAGTTTATTTAGAATTGTTTGCCCTAGTATCCATTTGGTATATCGTTGGGTGTTAGCAGCTCCCCACATTCAGTAGTATTGTTTATTTAGGAGCGCAGGAGGATCATACTGTAGTTGTTAGTAATTCAGAGCTGTCCTATGCAATTTGCCTGTGTTTATATTAAAAAACCAAGACCCCAAAAAAAGAAAAAAAAAAAAAAAAAAAAAAAAAACACAAATTATTTTTGATGTACTAGAAAAATCCTTTTCTTGGAGTACAGTACAGGACACAGACTTCCATTAACACTATTGGTTGTATGCTGTCCCTTTCAGGTGAGAACACTGGCATCAAATCTGTTAGGGCATATAACAGACTCATAAAAAAGAGAAGTTCCCAACTTACCCCTGGTGCATACTAGTGCGGGCCATTCGAATGGGCTGCTCTACACACGTTTCACACAAGGAAAAGGTGCATGCACCTTTTCCAACACGTATCCGCAGGTAAACTGCATGGTCTTTCTGACCATGCAGTTCCCACACCCGTGATCACGCTGCGGGATGAGATGTGTGGGGGTGCTATTCAGAATCACGCTGAAACTGAGTGCATTGCATGCGGCTTTGGGGCAGTTGCAGTACAGCCCCATTTCACTGAACGGGTCACGTTCAGGCAACAGTACTGCCCACCTAATGTGATGCAGTGATTGACTTTTGCCAGAGATGCAAAGCATCAACGCTGTGGCATGTGTACAGTCCAGAGTGGCTACAGCTCCTTGTTCAGGTGGGTGCTCAGGGGGTATTAAAACTGGTTCAGCTGCCTTTTACCTTACCTTGGACACTTGTGTGAACAAAACCAGAAGTAGTAGATTGCAGTGGTCAACTTAGCTTTCTTCTTAGAAGGTAAAAAGTGCTCTAATTTTTAACAGGAGCCTACCTTGTCCACTAGAACCTTAATTGGTTCTCTCAGCTTAGGAGAAGTCAAGGGAGACTGTCTATCCTCCCAGGAGGGGACCCTCATACACGAAGAATTCATCTTCCTCCTCAACTTCATCAGGAGGCAATGCTGTTGTGATGGATGAGTCAGACAATGACTCAACAGGGGACACTGACAGAGTTGCCTGAATAGATACAAAAACCCAGAAGTGTGGGGACTGAGGTCCAATGTACCAGAAGCAGAGTTTTCAGAGGAGCTCTGAAAATTGTCCTATGTACAGTGTATGCTGGCCTGCCCCCTCATCCCATTTCCCTTCTGCATGATGTCTGCCATGAGTGTGAGGGGATCCCTTGAAGGATACTAACAATCTGCTGCTGCAGAGCAGAAGGGGTGCAGACTTGTGTCTTACAACTGAAGGCTGCTGTGAAGGCAGATACGGAGACCTGAACCACAATTCAGGGCAGGGTAGAGATAAAGCTGTAGTGTGCTTTGCCTGTAGAAGAGGCAAGGCACACTACAAAATGGCACCTTGAGTTTTGGGACAACTGAAGTTGCTCCAACAGGGGCAGAAATGTACACACAGAACATGCCCAAATGCGTCACAGAGGAGGCACAGAAATCTTCTAAGAAATGTGCCACATGGAATGCTATGGCCATGGCAAACTAATGTTTCTGTTGCGCAATGCTCCACGACGGCAACAAATTTGAAAGTTGAAGCAACTCTGCGGTACACTGCTCATGGCCTAAGGAAAATCCTTCCACCCACCCCATGTGCACAAGGCAGGGACCCAGTGTCCAGTGACTGCTTCCAGGCTGGGGTGTGAGAGAAAATATGGGGGGGACCCCACATGGGAAGTATCAAAGCCCTGGAGTCACCAGACCAGGACAATAGCACCTTCCCAGGAAACTCTCCAGATGGGGACCCCCTCTGTTTCACGTGCTTCAGGAGGGCATACGTGAATCTCCAAATGTGAAGAACAGAGTGTAGCCTCCCTAGGGTTCCAGGTGGAAATAGATTAAAACAGAAACAGAAGGTTGTCTAACTTTCTCTGCAAATGTCCTCATTTGAAGGTGTAAACCCATTGTCTTGATTAATGGAAGACTGAATTCTGTATGATTAAGACTTTTTAGCCCTCCCTGTTCTTCTCTTGGACTAAAAGACAATCAGTATTTATGATGTGAATAGGAAGGCAATGGGAGTGGTTGAGTAGTTTAGCAAAAGACAATGTGTAGGGCTGACACCACTCTGTTCACAAAAATGCATCGTGTTATCACTCCACAAGAGGAGATTAAAAGCTAGGGGCATTTCTAGCAGAACAAGAATTTTCTGTTTGCAGCGTTTTTGTTATTTATTATAAAGCATAAATTACACTGTTCCTTGCAACCCCTTGTGTGCACATATCATTCTTCCAAGTATAGTGTTTTAATCACAAACATCAGAGACTGGGACGGGCACCCTCTCCCCCCCACCCCAAAGTAAACTGATAGACGCTTGCAGCCATTGGCTGAAAGTGCTGATCCAATGCTGGTTTTCTGGGTTATTTTAGGGTTAGACCAGCTTCTGTTGAACAGACAGTGGTAGACAGGTACTAAAGTTGGCCGGTTCAGCAGGAACGTGTGTACCTGCTTAAGATATTACTAGACATGCCAGGGAAGGCTAAACAAAGGAGCACTCAATATAACCACAGGACGAGAAGGTAAAAAATGAATGGAAGGAACAAAGGAAGACATAAATGAGGAAATATTAGCTGGGAAATAAAGTACCTTTACTCTTTCAATACCGGCCTCGATGCGGAGCTGTTCCACCAGCTTCCGAGCTTGTGCAATGTTGTTAGAGGTTGACATTATCTGCCATAAATCTTCCTACAAAACCTGGAGAAATGTCTGTAAAAGGAGCAGAATGTTACTTAACATTATGTATGTCAAGATTAAAGTAATATTAAACCCAAAAGCAATTATTTATTATATTGCAGCTTACCAATGTGAAGGCTGCAATATTTTATTTTTTTCCTATATTTTTACCTGCTGATCCTGCAAGTCTGTTGTTTTGCAAAAAAACAAGCCCTGTTGCAGATGTATTAGTTACAGGGATAAGACAAACCATTTAACACTTACAAATGATCAGCTTTATGTAAAACCTGTACCCCAAAAAAAAAAAAAAAACGGTTGCTGTAATTGCTTATAAAATATTATCTGGAGTGTGGCTTCAATTTGTTAATGTATTTAAATTAGTACACGTAACACTCCTCTCTCCCCCAGACTAACAATGCTACTGTGAAGCAACACGCCCTCTGTGTTCCTTCATCCAGAGTGGAGGCAATCTAATAAAGGGAGGGGTGTTAGTGGTCAGATCACCAGGTGAAAAGCAAGGGGGGGAAAAAAGAAGCCTAAAAAAAAAGCCTAAGAAAAAAAAATTCAGCTACATGATTGGTAAGCTGTTAGATTTTTGGTTTTAATACCACTTTAAGGTTGCATATATGCATTGTATATTTAATGGAACTAAATTTACACATAGGATTGGTAGCCCATTCCAGCTCATACATTGTACATTAACATTCCCCAGCACAATGCCCCATGCCTAGAATCGGATACTAGAGGTTTGTTCCTTGGAGAACCAGCAGTCGACTATTTGCATGTGCTCACGGTCTGCTCCGACATAAAACAAAGCATTAAAGTGGTTCTACATGGCAAAGTATTTTTTTTTGTTTTACCTTGTTTTGCATTTACCTTAACGGTAAAATGAAAAAAACCCCAAAAAAAACAACAACTTTGCCTTGTAGAACCACTTTAAGGCTTTGTTTTATGTAGACAGGTGCATTAAGGTAAAGAAAAAAAAAACCCTTAATGCACCGGCGCATTACGATAAACCCCCCCCCCCCCAAAAAAAAAAAAAACACCTTTCAACAGCAGCTCCCCTAACACCCCCCCACCCCCAAACATTTACCCAAGTCTATTCTCGATCCACCGCTGTCCTGCCTGCAACAGCTCTTCTGCCCTCTTCCTGGTTTCACAGGCTTTACTGACAATAGCAGGAACTATCGGCTCCTGCTGCTATCAATCAAATCCTGTTAGGAGGGGGCAGGGCCGATCTGTGCAGTCTATTGACGCATACAGCCTGGCTTGGGATTGAGCCCCCATAGCATGAATACACGCACACATTCTTTTTTCTTTCACAGGTTTGGGCATTTGGCAGACTATAATAAAAACAGAACATTTATCAGTGTAAAGATGCCAAAAATGCCTAAATTTAGTCTGGGCATTTTAAACATTGACTCATGACCACAGAAGAGTGAGCTGGATCTAAACCAAGCTAGCCAAGCACAGATTTAATTATAAAATAGGTTAAAATTAATGCATCATGAGTAACCATACAAATATTGAGACAGAGGAACAACAATAAATCATTTGTTCAGCTATGCCATATTGGTGGTTTAACACAGGCTTTAAATGGCATTTTCTTTTAGTACAAAATTCTGTTCTGAAGCCACACAGCAAAGTTGTTTTACTACAGAAGCTGAGAATCTTAACCTAAAGAAATGTGTGAATAGTCCCTTCAGTTATGTAACCACCTGGGAAAGTATCTGCATATGATAATTGGGTATTTAAAGTGATCAAGATTTTATTTTAAGTAAACATTTCATAAATTTTTTTAGTGAAGATTCTCAACTTCTTGATAAAATCAGTCTCCCTTTGTCAGTGCTCTCACAGACAGAAAAGCTCTGCCTCCTTTCAATGACAGGCGACCATTTGCTTGGCTTGGGATTAACTGGAAATCAGTATTATTATTATACAGTATTTATATAGCGCCAACAGTTTGCTCAGCGCTGTACATTATAATGGGAGACAGTACACGAGACAGCACAGTAACAATACAATACACGAGGGGTTCGAGGGCCCTGCTCCTTGGAGCTTACAATCTAGGAGGGAGGGGAGAGTGGTACAGGAAGAAATAGCTGTGGGGGATGGAGTGGTAGGAAGAGTGGAGGAGATCGGCAATTAGGTGAGGGCGGTGTAGGCTTCCCTGAAGAGATGGGTTTTCAGGGTGCACCTAAAGGTGAGGCGGGTAGGTGACAGTCTGATGGATTGGGGTAGTGAGTTCCAGAGGATGGGGGAAGCCCTGGAGACGGGCATGGGAGGAGTAGACCAGGGAACTAGAGAGTAGGAGGTCTTGTGAGGAGCGGAGAGTACGTTTTGGGTGGTAGGTGGATATCAGGTCGGTGATGTAGTTTGGGGCAGTGTTATGAACAGCTTTGTACGTCAATGTTAGTAATTTGTTTTCTATGCGTTGGGCAATCGGAAGCAAGTGGAGGAAATGACAGAGGGGTGGTGGCTGATACGGAGCGGTTGGTAAGGTGGATGAGTCTGGCCGCAGAATTCAGGATAGACTGAAGCGGGAATAGCCTGTGATGAGGTAGGCCAGTGAATACAGAATATGTAGCCCCCACCCCCATTTAGTCTAAAAATGTAATGTTTTATAAACCACTGACAACCTTCATCATTTAGCCTCAACACACTATATAAAGACAATAAATAATACTTATATCACTTTTGGATTGCGGTCAGCTTTAAACTGCACCTGTAACTTTACATTGAAAAGTGCCAACACACTTTATACAAAAAACTTTTATAAGGAGGAATCACTTGTAAAACATGCCTCTACTCGCATCACATATGCAATTACTATTAAATTAATTTTGCTGCCTGCACCCAAGAAGAAAATCGTATCACTACACAACGTTGTTTCCTACAAACTAGTAGTCACATTGCTATGAAAGCCTCAAAGAGCCATTTCATACACCTGTTTCTAGAATTTAAATTTGCAGCAAGAACAAAATTTGGCTCTGCATATATAGGAAAAAAAAATCCTAGGCAGGAAGGTAACAGTTCCAGTTCTTTCACTATACACACACACTGACAGATGTGAATGTGTACAATATATCTTGAGAATACATATTAAATTGTAGAGGGGGATAAAGGAAAACAAGTGTGTGGGAAGGGAGTGTTTACAGTTGGTCATAATAAAGCGGAACTAAAGTCATGAAACTTCCCTCCTCTCTAACGTTCTTGGCCCCTCGCTGGCTTCTTCTCCCCAGGTGCCAGTCTTTGCGCATCTTCATTGGCTGGCTCAGTATGATGCAACCCCCCTGCGCATGCACGGAAGTCAATCATCCCAACACACAGAACGATACTGGTTCTCTAAACTAATTTTACATGCAGCAGAAGAATGCCAACAGGCAGGTAGGCGTTTTTAATCGCAGAAGAAACATTTCATGTCTTTTTTGTGATAATAAACTGCCTGCTCACAGTCTATTATAAGAAGATTTCAGTTCGGCTTTTAACACTCAACTTGGTTTATCCAAGCCCTATAGTGTTTCACATCTGAGAATTAAAATTTTCACCAATAAAACATTATGTCTTTATTGGGAGGCATGAAATCATCATGTGGATTCATACACGTGGTGGTGGTGGTGGTGGTGGGGGGGGGGGGGGGGTGTGTTGTGGATTGGGTCAGTTTCTTTAAATAGAGAGGCAGAATTTATGACATGTATGAGTACTGACTCCCTCTCTCTGTTGGGTAGGTACTGGATGATCATAAAATTTCTGAGAGACCTGTTTGAAATACCTGCAGAATGCTTTCAATCTGGGGCATTGCCCAAATATATGGATCATTGCCCCAGCCTCTCCATCACATTTGCAGCGTGGGTCAATGCAAAAAGGTGCAAGTTCTACTCCACCTTAAAGGGCAACTCCACTTTCGTGGGAAAAAAAATAGCAAATAAAAAAAATAAATATGCTATATACAATTGCCAGAAAAGTCATATTGCAATTGAATGTTATTTAAAAAATGACCTCTCCTTTTCAATGCACAGCACTATCATGGAACAAAATGCAGTTCAATATGAAACATACATGAAAGCCACCCGATATAATTTCTGCTTGTGTGATTGGTTTACTGATTTTTCCAGAGGTCAGCACTAAGATAGATGTAGTTTTTGCTGAGATACCCCCAAAGGGGGAAAAAAAAAAAAAAAAGTCTAAAAAGGCATCCAGACCATGCAACTTTCCTCATTAGGGCCCTGCAGGTGCAGAAGCTGCTGGAAAATTATAGAACCACTCTCCTACATATTCTTTCTGTACATGGACACAGACAAACAGCTCTTTCTTCAGAACAACAAAAAGTAGAACTCTGCAACAAAGTCTGTTAAAATTCTTGCAATGTACATAGATCACCCAGAGGGGAGTGGTTTTTTTTCCACAAAAGTGCAGCTACTCTATAGTTTGTATCCGGTTTCCTGACATCTACTAAATACACTATAAGCCCTCATGCACACTGGACATTTTGATAAAGCTGGTAATGCTAGCTGTGTAAAGTCACGATAAAAACGTGAGTTTTGTAGTTTAGCATTTTTGCATCAGCGTTTAGCTGCGTTTTCCCTCGTTTGTTTTTAGCTTTTTTTGGTCAAAAAAAACATCCAAAAAACTCTGGTTTTTCTGCGTTTTACCGCGTTTTTCAGCGTTAGAGCATTTTTACAGCTAAAAAACTCCTCTAGAAACCCACTAGTCCTGGGGTTTTTTTTCCATCCAAAAAAACCTTGATTACAGTCTATGCATGCATGAACACATAGGAAAACATGCTGGGGGGTTTAACTAGCTGTAGAAAAAAACGCCAAAAACAGCAGCTGTGAAAATATCAAGTGTGCATGAGGACTAAAAGCAAACAAAAGTAAATACAAATCACTCTAGTAGCACTCTATACAGCATAAAACCACAACCAAACAGTAAAAAGGCAAGAGTGATAAAAGAGTGAAAATGATAAAGTGTCGTCATCCAAATGTGACTGTCCA